CTCTCTCTGACCTGGCCAGGCCTTGCTGGGAGTCCTGCAAGACTGGGAGTGCCCATCTGGGTGGTCAGACATCGTCATCCAGGAGCTTTGGGGGACCACGTCCCTAATATTGGCATGGAATTTAAAACCAGCTTTTAGGCTTTTCAGGGACGTGTCATGCCTGCCGTTTCCCCAAGTGCCCTCTTTATCTTAGAATGCTTTATGGGTAGGCCCTGTGAGGGTGGATTCACCGAGAGGAGGTTTGAAAAAGAAAAAAAAACAACAACACTGTTCCTTAATGAAGTTTTCACTAGGTAGGGCCCAGGACAGGAAACCTAGAGGGTCACTTCCCTGGTAGACGTGGTGGAAGGTTTTGGGTCAGCCAGGGGAAAGCTAGCCAGCTGTGAGGCTGGAGAAGATTAGCAAGTGGGTCAACAGCCAAAAGACTGCAGATCCTTGGATGTCCTCCAGCAACGGTTACATGCCTGGGCTCAGGAAACTAGAAGCTTCCTGGGAAGGAGTCTTGACCAGCAATAAACTTCCCTTGAGTCCTTACCTTGTGCCAGGCACGCTGCGATTCACTTTCTGGGCCATTTGGTCCTCGAAGGATATTTTTTGAACTTGATGCTATCACTATGTGCAGACAGGGGCTTTTGGGTGTGAGGATTACACAGCAAATTATGTCTAAATCCTGGCACAGAAGTACAGGTTACAGCCACGGTAACGGGTGATAGGCAGTCCATTTTGGTTCAGATGACTGAATGGGAAGAGAATCAGGACAATTTTTCTCTTGAATCTCTTCAGAAATCTTAAATAAGACAGGTATATATGGACCTGCTTCAGTAAATGTAGATGGGGGAGGGGTCAGTAGTATATCTGCATGTGCAGATCCTGAACCCTGTGTAGGCATGTATATGAGGAACCCTGTAACCTCACAGGTTGCACTAAGAATATCTTGACAATTTTAGTTATTTCCGAAGTATTGTATGATCCCTACTATGTTTTTTTGAGATCCCCATATAGAAAAACGACTTGGAATTAGACTAGGGATAGGATTAAACCCCAGCAGGTCACCGGGAACTTATAAAAAGGCAGTTACCTTTGTCACTGTAAGATATTAGGGAAGTGTTTTTGGTAATGTTATTTACTGAGCACCTTAACTTCACCTAGCATACCCGAGAAAGTAAATTGAATTTTCAGTTAAATTTAAAATACCATATGCTGTTATTGTCCTATTGGACAGCATATCTAGAGGATCTGTGGGTGAGCACTTAAGATTTTTCTGAATATTTGAAATGTATGTACAATTGATAAATGTTGTTCTGGGAAGTGATTCCCTCGCTTTTATCTGAGTTGCAAAACCACCAGCGAGACTGGGAAGTGCTCTTTGAAGCCATGTGGGAGAAAGCAAAGACAGTGAGTATGCCATCTTGTAACCATTGCTTTTTCTCCTTTTCCTGTTTTCCTGTCTTCAGCTGTACGTGACTCCCCCAGATTATTACAGAGAGGAAAAAGCTGGAATCTGAGAGATAGACCCCAGATAAACTGTAAGATTCTAGAAGAGGTGATGGCTGTGGCCCTGGGCTGTGCAATCCAGGCCTCGTTGAATCAGGGCTCTGTGCTGCAAGAGTATGACACTGACTGCGAAGTCTTCCGACAGCGCTTCAGGCAGTTCCAGTACACAGAAGCTGCTGGGCCTCATGAAGCCTTCAACAAACTCTGGGAGCTTTGCTGTCAGTGGCTGAAGCCAAAGATGCGTTCTAAGGAACAAATCCTGGAACTGCTTGTGCTAGAGCAATTCCTAACTATTCTGCCCACAGAAATAGAGACCTGGGTGAGGGAACACTGCCCAGACAATAGAGAAAGAGTTGTGTCACTCATTGAAGACTTACAGAGAGAGCTTGAGATACCAGAACCACAGGTGAGAAAAAAATGTGCAGTCTCTCTTCTTAAGGGAACAAAAGAGGTACCCAGAATGTGGGGTCTGTAGCCATCATTTTGACTCTGATTCCACAATCCCAAGACTATTCCAGAGACTTTTCTAATGGTCTCTTCTGCTGGAATCAGCATATGGGTCTGAGGTTCTCCACTGTTTCTGACCCCATGCCTTCTCTAGGATACACATATGAGAATGGCCCATTTGCTATTATTATTGAATTAAAATTTCCAGACAGCATAGCTTATCTAGAAACATCAATTACAGTTATCAATACTCTATGGCTTGCTAGCCAGATCCTGCCATGGTATGGCTGATTGTGACCTCTAAGTTTCTAGTGTTTTTTTTTTCCATTTTTTAAGTTTTTTATTTCTAGCAGTTTTTACTTTGTTAATGAATTTATTTTCAAAACAGAAGAAGAGAGTAGGGTAAATGTGGCCCACACATTCTGAACTATTTAGTATTTGTTTCTTTCCAGAATGATCTGACTGACATTAAGTCAAGTAGTCTAGAGAGAATGCAGAGGAAGACAGCATAGTTTAGTGTAAACTAATACACATTTCTACAGTGTATGTGTTCTTCACTGCATGAGAAGACATCATTTAGTGGTCACATGCCAGCCCCTCTGCTTTCAATTACTGTGATGGGACAGTCAGGAATTCTGACCAAGGTTCCAGTGCTATGAGCAGTGTTGTCCCTGGTGATGTGATTTTACAAAGTGGCCAAAAACGTTCTTGGTAAAGGGGAATAAATTCTGTGGTTTTCTGTGGTTTGTGCAAAAGTGCTAAAAATAATATACAAAAGTTATTTGGTTTCTACCTGATCAGCAGGATGTGGTTCTTGCTAGGTTCTTTTCATCTATATGAAGGTTTGAAGGAAGAGTCCCACTCACCCGCTTTTGCCTTCTATTCAGAACCGCCTCTTGAGGCTCCTGTTCAGGGAAGGCATAGGTGAGCACAGGGCAAACTGAACAGAAATAACAAGAGCTTCTATCTGACATTCACAATCTCTGGGGCTTGGGACAGGGGTCACTACAGCAGTTGGCTTCACTGCAAATAGTAGCTTGCATAGGAAGTCACCAAGGTCCCTGTATCCCTAGGGTAGTACGGGGAAGTAGTTTTCCTTACTTTCCATAGCTTCCTAGTTTGGGAGAAAATAGAAGAATTTTGTCTTTGGGAGGTCTGGGTATCCCCTCCACATCTCAGGAGTTGCAAAGCACTCCTGGCACTTGATCACTTAAATGCATTTACAGTGCAGCTGGAGCAGCTGTGGCTGTGAAATGGCACACTCCCCAAAGAGACTTTGTATGACGGAAGGAGCAGGTGGAATAACTCACTAGTAATTATTCGTGTTGGAATCCTGGTACTTTGTATATAATCCTGTACTTTGTTGTAATAAGCACATACTGGTATAGTCAGCTCACCTATTTTTGTTTGTTTATTTGGTTGTTTTTTTTTTAATGCATTGCCTCCTAGAATCCCTGGAGACTATAAAGCTCCGTGTGTGGCTCATGGGACTGTTGGGGAGCAATGGCTGACTTAGAAAGTGGTAAAGTGGCTTATTTCCAGTGGAGTCTAAACTTTGGAGTGATGTTTTTGGCCTCTCTCTCAGATCGACATGGATGACATGCTCTTGGAAGAACTGGCACCAGTTGGAACAGTACCCATGCCACCCAACTTGCACCTGGATGCACCAGAACTGCAAGTAATGGAACCTGTCCAGGAGCCCCCAGTGCCAGAGGCCTGGATTCCACAACCAGGACCACAGGATCTGAACTACAGTGCTGATGCTGAATGCCAGTCCTTTCTGGACCCTGGTAAGGCAAGGGTTTTCTTTTAGTTCTGGGTTTCTGCTTGAGAACTAAAGAACTTTGAGGTTTCTGTTTGAGTTAGAAATACTGATCTCCCAATAGCACTGAACCACTGACATAAAGAAGTGGAGGGCTGAGAAGGAGGAGGACATCTCTTTCTAGGAACAACAAGGAATGATGTCCTTGGGAGCTGGTTGGAGTGATGGCTTTACCCAAGGGACTTTTTACCAAGAATGTTATCTGGGAAAGCCTCTTGTGGGAGTTCAGATCCTTGGTAAGAACACAGTTGTCCACCAGATTTTGTGATGTGAGATCCAAAGGGCCAGTTGCTTTTATGGATGGTATAGAAAGCCGTATTCGGTTAGAGTGCTTTTATGGTATAGACAGCCCCATTCTAGTAGGGTACTTTGTAATATGCTCTCTTCAGATCCTTAAAAAGGATATAGTTACTTATAGGAGGTGAAAAAATGTCAATTTCACCGAGCTGTGGTGGCATTTATTTATTACCAGCATTCAGGAGGAAGAGGCAGTGGATCTCAGAGTTCAAGGCCAGCCTGGTTTACAGAGGAAGTTCCAGGACAGCCGGGGCTATACACAGAGAAACTCTCTCTCAAAAAAATGTCAATTTCATAAAATCCCAAACTAGAATAGTGTTTCCAGAATGTGGTGGGAAGACCTCTTCCATCAGCTTAATCCATAGAAGTGCTGCACACACTAATGTTTGGAGCCCACTGGCTCTGGGTGAGTTCTAGAAGGAGCTCGGTCCACTGGAGAGAGGCAGCTGGGCCACGTAGCTTGCATGCCCTTGTTTTCCTTCCCTTTGGGTTTCTTTCACACAATTTTCCCCCTCACTCCCATGAAAGATTTGGCTCAAGTGTGGCTGTAACCCTTACTCCTATGGGTATATCTAGACCATGTTGACACTTGGACTAAACTGTACAATACTGAGACAACAAAAACAACAAAATGGAAATCAGTGACAAGAACCCAAGTTACAAAATAGAAATGCCTGATGCATGAATAACCAGCAGAAGCTAAGGCCTAGAGTTCCTTTTTACAAGGTCATATGAATTCAGGCAGCATTAGGAGCACCTATGAAGAGCCAGGCCAGACACTGGGGACTTGTTGGTACACAAAGCAGAAAAGCAGCCTTAGCCATCCTGGAGCTCAAAGTTTGGGAGCCAAGTGATGCTTTCCATATATGATATGGAAAGTAATCCTAGAGGGTATAGGATGACAATGACACACATAGGAGAGTCACCTTACCACCAGCTAAGAGGAGAAGGGAGTTAGGGGAAACATCTATGGAAAGGGACCAGAATGGGCCGGCTGAGCAAGCAGTGCAAATGAGAGGGGAGAGGAATCTGAGCAGATGGAGCACCGTGTACAGAAGCTGTAGGGGCAGAAAGGACTCCTGCATTTGCACTGTGAGGGGCCGATAGGAGCAGATAAGCCAAGGTGCTAATGGTGGAGAGGAAACAGCAATTCCAAAAATATTTAGCAAATGTGAAACCTAGGTCCTGTGATTGACTGACTGGGAATGAACAAGAAAGGTGAAAGATGCTGCCTAGGTCTCTGGCCCATGGCCTGGGTATATGGCATAAAGAACTCAGAGGAAGACTGGCTTTCATAGGTCAAGGTAAGCGTACAGTATGACCACACCAGGCCAGAATATTTTTAAGTGATGGTGAAATGAAAAAAAAACCCACTGAAAGTCCATAGTTATACATACTAGTTGAAGCAATACTATATAATATTTGTCATTTATATTCTAGTCTTTATATTGCCTTCATTTCATATTCTGTTAAGAAGTTTAAATTTAGCCAGGTGGTGGTGGCGGCGCACGTCTTTAATCCCAGCACTTTTTAGGCAGAGGCAGGTGGATCGCTGAGTTCAAGGCCAGCCTGGTCTGCACAGCGAGTGCCAGGACAGACAGGGATACACAGAGAAACCCTGTCTTGAAAAAAACAAACAAAAAATCACCTCATTTGGGGCTGCAGAGATGGCTGAGTGCTTAAGAGCTTACTGCTCTTGGAGAAAGCCAGGTTTGATTCCCAGCACCCACATAGCAGTTTACAATTTCGTATAATTCTAGCTCCATGCAATCCAGCGGCCTCCTCTGGCCTCCACAGGTTCCTGCACACACGGTGCACACTCATACACTCAGGTGTGCACACACACACACATAAACTAAATATTTTAAAAACAGTTTCCTCACTTAACTTTATGCCTGACACACTGGAAGTTTGGGATACTGTAGACTATCTGCAATCAGAAAGAAAAATAAAAGTAAAAACAGAGATACTAGCCCTGAGAGCTTAAACTGTATTAAACAAACTATAACTTAGAAAATGGATCCAAATTAGCGCCTCAGAACTGGAACACATGTTCAATTGCCTAAAGCTTTGGATTTCTAGACTCAGTTAATGAGATTTCACTTTGAGTACATGAAAGATGTCAAAGAACAGACCCTTTTGGTGTGATGAAGGATTTGAGAGATGAAAATTTAAAATGTAAATACAAGTCATCTGGAAAGCATTAGAAGGTTTCTTTTTGTTTATTTTTGTTTTGTTTTTCGAGACACGGTTTCTCTGTGTATCCCTGGCTGTCCTGGAACTCGCTCTGTAGACCAGGCTGGTCTCCAACTCATAGAGATCCGTCTGCCTCGCCTCCTGAATGCTGGGATTAAAGGTGTGCGCCACTACCGCCTGGCTTAATTTTTTTTAAATGGGTGCATGTGTGTTTGTCTGAGTGTGGATAACAGGGTCCCATGGAGGCCAGAGGAGGGTATTACTTTCCCTGAAGCTGGAGTCACAGATGGTTGTGAACACCTGATGTGATTGCTGGAAACGAACCCAGGACCTCTGCAAGAGCTGTGCATGCTCTTAACCACTGAGCCATCTCTCCAGCCTGAAAAGGGTGTTTTCATTCAAATGAGTTTCTATTTGTTTATGATTGTGTGTGTGCATATGCTCGTGTGCATGCACGTGTGCGTGTCAGAAGAGACTTTTCGGGAGTCGGCTTTCTCCTACCATGTGAGTTCCTAGTGTCAAACTTGGATCCTCACACCCGTGGCCAAACAGCTTTGCCTCATGAGCTGTCTCACTAGCTGAGGTTGTTGTCACTGCAATTCCTTCAGAATTTCCTGTTACATTAAGTGTTAATATAAGTAATATTTAATGCCCAGCTATAGAGATGATACCTCATTGAGCAGCAGAGCCTGTGTGCCATGACCGCTGCTAAGTGGGGCTTAGGACAATGATCCACTGAACATAGCATGAGAACATTCTTGAAGTACCTATTTGTTAACCTCCAATTTTTTATTTATATTACACTCCACTGTATTACTTCTTTTGCACCATATTCTACAATTATAAATGAGCTCTGAAGTTTAGCAGCTTAAAGGAGAAAATGAGAAGAGGGGGTGATTTAAAAAAAAAACAATTTCTAGGAGCCAGGAATTTCCAGGGGGTTTACAGTGTTCCTGGCTGAGTGTCTGCAAACTAGCAGAACACTCAATTCCTTGCTAAGGGGACTTCTCCATATGCATGTCCTCAGCACAGGCAGCAGGCTTCTCTCATAGCAGATGATTGAAAGGAAAGCAAGATATGTGCCACAGTGTTGTTGGTAACCCAGTCACACACCATCACTTCTGCAATATCCTCATTAGGACAAAGTCACAGATCCAACCCACACTTAAAGGGGAAAAAGAAAATATCACTTGATGAAGGGAAGACTGTAAAATGACCCTCGAAGGCTTATCGTAAAACAACCACTTATCCATTCTTTCTTTCTTGCATTTAAAATTGGATTCCTCTGCAACAATGATTTAATAGCACGTGAGGGTGACACCATTTACTTGTGTGTAGTTATCTAGATGCCACCATGTGATTTCATGAAAGTCCTAAAAGTAAAAAACCTGTCCATTTTGCATTGAATGTCCTTATGACCAAAGGTCCCTAGGTTTATTGTTGGACTGATAGCATTGGACATCTATTCTCAAGAAAGGACTACATTTACATTGTATTGCTTCTTGTTGGTTTTACTACATTTTAGAGTCAGTTGGATCACTATGAGGGGTTGTGTTAAGTCTGAAGACAGGTAGGAGAGTACTGCTATATAAATGATAGTACATTTTTTAATGCCTGAACCTGAGACCAGTTTCTATTTACTTTGACTTTGTCAGGTGTCTTCAACAGTGTTTTATAGTTTTCAAAGTATAAATTTTACACAGACATTATTAAATTTGTTCTTAAATTATTTTAGTCTTATTAACGTTATCACGCATGGAACTATCTTATTCAGTGTGTTTTGGCTTGTCCTTTGAAAGTATAATTACTGTTGATTTTGTGTATTAACCATATAGCTTACAAACATACTTACCTTGTTTATTATGATAGCTTCTGTATGGTTTTATACTCACTATAAAATGATACACCTTATAAATAGTTGCCTAACTGTCTTATGAATAATATTTGTAGAATATCCCCTTTTCCATCTTGGAGGCAGAAGCAGGCAGATCTCTGTGAGTTAAAGGCCGGCCTGGTCTACAGAGCAAGTTCTAGGCCAGCCATGACTACATAGTGAGACCCTGTCTCAAAATACAAAAGAAACCAAACAAATAGGAATGCAAAACTACAATCTGAACTTTGCCTTTCTATCGAATTATTTAGTCCACTCATACTTAGTCTGATTAGTATATAGTTAGAATTATATATGCCATTTACTTATTTAGTCTGATTAGTGTATAGTTGGAATTATATGTGCCATTTACTTAATCTTTTATATGTCTCATAAATCTTTTGTTTCCCCCTTTCTCACTGCTTCCTTTTGTGTGAAGTGAATATTTATAATATAGCATTTTACTTGCTTTATGAACTTTCACTATTTCTAAATTAATTCTTAAGTAAATGATTGCAGTCTACCTTTTATGCTTCAACTTATCAGTTCAGAGTTGTATTAACAATGTCATTAAAATACAGAAATATTAGTCCCTTAATATGTCT